TACATTTGCCATTCCTACGGACAAAAAGGGCTGGAATAGAATCCCTTCTGAGCCAGTCAGAGCTGCTCATTACTCAGTAGCCAGGGTCTTTGTGAAGTGACAGTTGATTTCATTTGTGGGCTGAGTGCACTATCTCGCCAAGTTACGGTTGTGAGAACTGTAACTTGGAATTTCCTGATTTTGGAGTTCTTCAGTCCCCACCCACAATATTGCATAATTGGATTTTTTCCCTAATTCACTTAAAGATTAGTTAAAAACTTAAACTAACTTAGTTTTTTCTTAAACTAAATAATTGTGAAACTGTCAAATATAATGTGAAGGAAAGATTGATATATATGTTTGTCCACTACTCTGTCCCAGTATTTGCTCCTGCCTGCACCTCAGCCAGGCTTTCTCATACAGAATTGTGCTTATAAATATAATTCCGTGCTTGAAGTTGAATTCTTCATGTACAACTCACTTTCTACAAGTAGTCTAAGAAAACTGTCTTTTCATTGCCCTTGAAATGAATGTGGTAGTTAACTCTAATTGAAAAAATAAGTGTTCTGAGGACTCGGAAATGGATGGATTTCAATGTCATGGAGGAAAAAGAAAAAATCTTTGCAACATTCCTTACTGGCCACTTGTATAAAGAGTTGATGTGTTGAGCTGACTGACAAGAGGAGGGGAAGGGATCCAAACAGCCTGAGTTCATAGTTGGCAGCTGAAAAGGTGGTGCTTGGGTGGTTTGTGAGGTATGGAGCTTAAATAAAAAATGATCTTTCCTGATCAAGCTATTTGTATTTGGTACTCCAACTGTGATTGCTTATCTGGATCTGTTTGCAGCAGTCCTTCGTTTTTCTGCTCCCTAAAAATGATTGAGCCACAGGGAGATAGGAAGTCCTTCATTGCTTCCTGTTTGTGAAAATGAGCTTGTGACTTGAATGTTGAACACTAATATTCCCATATTAAAAATCTACTTCCGGGATATCTGTTTGCCAAGGCTCAGGAAATCTGATAAGGCTCTTAGTAGAACTGATCCAGAAAATGTTTTCTTCCTAGCAAAAAAACCCTTAACTTTTCATCAAAAAACGGAAAATCCATGGAGACATTTATTTTTAACTTTTGTGGAAAAACTCGTTTTTGTGAAAACCCCCATTTTCTGTCAGTGTCTTTATTTTGGAAGTTAAATAGTATAACAGTTAAAATTAGAACTAGAGTGTAGCTGAACATTGAGGAAAAATAAGAATTCTTTAGAATTGTATTTGTGGGGCCCATTGTCCATCCAAACTAAAGAATGCTCAGCATGAGCTAGTAAGTAGTACCAGTATCTAGACTAGGCTTACATAGCAATTACTTGGGTTTCTCTTAGTATGTGTTTAGCAGGAGAGGTAGCTCATCAATTTATTTTTGCTTTTTGCTTATTTTTTTAGCTGACTGTGCATATCTTCGAAATACAAGGTGGGTGAGGTAATATCTTGTATTGGACCAACTTCTATTGGTGAGAGAGACAAGCTTTTGAGCTTACATAGGGCTATCTTCAGGTCCCACCCACCTTGTCTCTTACTTCTTCTAGTTTCTCTAATATCCTGGGACTAACACGGCTACAACAACACTGGATTGCGTGTATCTTTGACATGAAATCCAGGATTAACCTAGCCAAAAGAAATACAGTTCCCACAATAGATGGTTGAGTATCACACTATGCTCCTATTTTAATTTTGTATTCTAATAAAATGGCACATCCCTCAAATCCCGTGTTCCTACAACAATTGGTATCTCATAAATTGACAGAGACTGAAAAATGTAATCTATTAAAGCCTTAAGTGTAATTTTGACAACTAAAATTTCTCATGTCTGTGGACATCTCCACTTAAATGGACTTTAAACACATAGTTAAATGCTACAGGAAACATACATTCTTCTTCGAGTAGTGTCCCTGTGGGTGCTCCACTGTAGGTGTGTTGGCTCTTTTCCAAGGCTATGCTGCGACTACACAAGCCATGGCAGTGCTTTAACGTTGCCAGTGAAGACATGCCCGGGCCTAGGAAGACAACCATGAGCCACCTCGCAAGGCTTCTAAGAAGAGAGCCACAGTGAGCCCCGACCAAGACAAAAAAGATTGTTTGGTATCGTTGGTACCGACATTTTTCCAGTTTCATCAAGAAACTTACGTTTGTTATTGTTTTCTGTCTGAAGTAAATCCGTGAGTATGTGATGTGGTTAAGCGTCTGAGCATTGCTTTCCACTGTGCCTCTCAGCTAGAATTCCTTACAGGAGTGCTGTTTGTTTAAATACAAAAGGCCAGGAGGTTCATTGTGGAAGGGTCCATTATATGAAACATCTAGAAGAGCCTAGATCTCCATTTTGCAGGGTTAAGAAAGCTATTTGAATTTCAGAGTGTGGCAACCAATGTCTACTTTGCATGGCAGCCTACGAGATGCATACAGTCTCGACAGGTGGGAGGGAATGGGGCAACGTCAGCAGAGACTGCCTGAACACAAGATTCTAGCAGTTACTGCTGCTTCTAGAAGCCACAGCTGTTAGATGATCTTTGGTGTCTATAGGGGCAGTTCTCCAGATACCATTCCCAAAGACAAGACAGCGAGAGGATATGGGGCAATTTATTCCTACTCCACCCTAGAACTAAATCAGTAAAGTGGACAATGGGGAGAGTGCTGCTTTGGAGCTCAAAGTGAGTCCAGTGTGGCAAGTTTTGCCTGTTCTACTGACATACTCCATTCTACCGATTTGAGTTAATTTGTTCTGTAGGTGTCTGATTTGTCACTACAAGGAATCCAAGTGGTCCTTCCTCCCCAATTTCTTGCTTCAGGTGGAGGATGATGAGTCCCCTGGGCCTGGGTAAGGAGAGAAGTGGAAGCAGAATTGAGGCTAATGCTGCAGGCTACTACACGTAGCCATACAGGGAGAAGAGTGAGGGAGCTCATTAAGCTATGTGGCTTCATTGCTGCTGGCTCTGAATTCCCAGGCAGCAGAGCTTCCCTAATTCTACTTGGCCTTCTTGAACAGTCTCCCCACCCTATTTTGGGGGCAGGAGTGATTCTCTCTCACACACACCCCTTTGGCTAGCCCATGCTAGAGGGAGGGAGAAGTGTGCACCCCATCCAGCTCCCAAACTCAGATCTTGGGTCTTCTGCTAATCCAGTCTATCTGGTGATGACATAGTAAGCAAATATCAGTAGAGATTGATGTTTATCCCTAAAAATAGGAGTGGGGTTTCCTTTAGGTGGAGCCCAACACAGCTAACTTTAAAAATAAAAAATTAAAATCAAGATCAGTTTTACTCACTACCTTTATTTTAAAGAACGAGTCAGCAAAAAGTGTTGACATTTGGCTGCATCACGTTGTGCTACCACTGAATCCTGTGTGTTAAGAGGGGAAAGATATGCAATGTCAATCTGGTGGAGTGGAGCAGACTGGGTGGTATGTGAGCAGCATGAATGTTCTAACCATAATAACAGGGACACGATAACAGTTTTCAAGTACATAAAAGGTTGTTGCAAGGAGGAGGGAGAAAAATTGTTCTCCTTAACCTCTGAGGATAGGAAAAGAAGCAATGGGCTTAAATTGCAGCAAGGGCAGTTTAAGCTGGACATTAGGAAAAACTTCCTAATTGTCAGGGTGGTTAAGCACTGAAATAAATTGCCTCGGGAGGTTGTGGAATCTCTATCATTGGAGATTTTTAAGGGCAGGTTAGACCTGTCAGGGATGGCCTAGATAGATAATGCTTAGTCCTGGCATGAGTGCAGGGGACTGGACTAGATGACCTCAAGGTCCCTTCCAGTCTTACAATTCTGTGATTCTATAAGAGGTTGACATGGGACAGAAATTTGATAGAGAGAACAAATGATATTCTATACTGGTGAATTGTTCCCTCCCCCCCAGCAATGCAGCTTCAGTTTCAGTGTCATCACTTCTAGATACACTGGCTCTAAAAACACTTGTTATGGAATAACATTACTATAATTAACATAGTTATGTTAGTTTAAAATACTATTATTAGGGTTAGAATAATCACAGTAAAAAATGTCAGCTTCAGGTATGAGCCTTATGAGTTCAGTGTGTTATGATATCTGTGTATAGTTTCAAAAGTACATATCTAGTATGTTTCAAAAGCTAGTCAATCCAGTAATGGTATTCATGTATGATACAGGTTGGGGTTACTTTGAAGAATTGCCTGGAGTCTAGTCACAAATAGTGTCAAATAGAAACTATTTTAAAAAGGCAACTGCTATATTCTCACAAACTTGAAAATGTTATCAAAACCTCATTAAACTATCACGAGCTTCTTCACAACCGTCTCACACATTTAGTACTGGCTACTGTAAGATAGGATATTGAGGTAGTTCGACCGCTGGTCCTGATTATTATGACAATACGTATATTGCATTAATACTCAACCTATAATTTCATTTGTTTTTATTTGTCTGAATTATTCCCCATTTTACCTCAGCACTTAGGATCTTTCTCAGTGAGAGGCTGTCATCATTCCCTTCTGAGTCATAATGAGCCTAGTCAAGTCTTAAAATCTGAGATTTTAAAGTGGCATAATGCAACAAAACTCGCTTATTTGTAATTAAATGAAAGAAGATACTGATATTTTCAAATAGAATTACATTAAATTTTTGGAAAGGGGAAGGTTTATGTATGTCTATCAAAGAAAATAAGTATTTTAGCTTCATGTAATTGCAGTTGCTCTTAGATCTTTCAGAAGAAAAATTTAAGCTGGCTCCATAACTCTTCAGATGTTTTACAGAATACATTTTCTTGCTATTGGTGTTTGCCTTTTAAGTCAAGCAGCTTAATTCGGGATTTTTATGTTTAAAGCTCTTCAGTATACTTTTTTTTATACACTTCTAAAATTTGCTAGTTGAACTTAGTGACTTGTTTATAGTTCTGATATACGAATAATATATTTGTGATTCTGTGTTGTAGTCCAGTTATTATTCAACAGATATCTCTGCCCATGTTCCTGTAACACCCTTCTATAATTATTTCAGTGCAATGCGTGTATTGCTGTCCAAGCTACCACGGCCATGGATTGTGGATGAGAAGAAGGATGACGGCTATACTGCCTTACATTTGGCAGCACTCAATAATCACGTGGAAGTGGCTGAACTCTTGGTGCATCAGGTAAGGCTTTCCTCTCAGGAGGATTGAAATATGTCACATGTCTTTGATTAACCTTATTGAAGCAGATGCCTTGCCAAAGCAGCTGAGATAGCATTGGGCTGCATTCCCTTCGCTATGTGCCAAGTTTGCCCCTGGGATCATTATTATATTGGCTTAGTTGTAAGAGGTGCAGAGAGATGAAATTGCTCCAGTACTTTCCTAAACAAATTTAACCCTTTAGAGTCAGCAACTTGGAAATTGTGCAGTGAGTAATTTAAAAAATCATTATAATTAATTTAACAATGATCATCAATGTTTTCTCTTCCCTCTTTCACAGTCCAGTTGGACAATCCAGCAGGCAGTTCAATAGCATCCTGAATGTACAATTGTAGGGTTAAGAATGTTGAGCCTATTAAATGAGGTGACTGAGGATGAATCATTTATTTATAATTTAAGGATTCACTAATTATAGTTTTTTCAGTTAAAGTTTAAAAGCTATTAATCGAAGCCTTCAACCTTCTCCCCTTTATTCTACTTATAATTGTGAGGTTCTTGGTTTTCAATTTAGAGAATGGTTTTACATTCCTTAACTTAATCCCATAAATTAAACATGTAGGGACAAATTTTCAAAAGTTCTCTGTACTTAAAATTGAGACTGTATTTTCAAAAAAGGGCATCTCCCATTTAGGGATCTGGAGTTGCTGTTGGGTGCTAAACACCTCTGAAAGCTAGCTACTTCATATCAATGCCTAGATGGAAGCTTAGTGCACTAGAAAAATTGACCCTGGTAATTTTTTCTAATCTCCCAAATCAAGGAGGTATCACATTCAGAATTTGCTCTAATTAGCTACCTTACTTCTCTATTTTCTATTACTTTTCTATTTTCTATTACTCTATTTCTTACTTCTCTGTTATTTGCTCTAATTAGCTACCTTACTTCTAGATTTACTGTTGAAATCTGACATTCTTAACGTCTTTTTCAGGGCAATGCTAACCTGGATATCCAGAATGTCAACCAGCAGACTGCATTGCACCTTGCCGTTGAACGACAGCACACACAAATAGTTAGGGTAAGATATCTGTAATAAGCTATGTGGGTTAGCTTTATTCTGTTCAATGTGACTTTAGTCATTAACAGAAGGTGGAATTCAAGAGCCTTATTTATACTAGTATAACCACTTGTTTTAGCCTTTAAGAATAATTAAGATGTATCCTGAATTTAGATCAACTTTATTTAAACCTTCTTGGCATACTTAGTGACAAAGGAAATACCCCATCCACTTATGCTCTTATGGTGACAGATACTTTAATTGTGTCTTACTTTCATTGGGCTTTCTATACAAGAAATAATTTCTAGTATCAACCAATCAAGAAACATGTTTTGTGAGGCAGCAAGGTTGAAAGATACATTTAGTATCAATCATGTATTTGTCTACCACTTAAGGTTTAGAAGTGCATGCTTGGATGCAGAAAAGCATTAATTTCTTTACATAACTAGCATAACAGATCCAGATTCTTCTTTCTGTCCACACAGCTGAAACTCTTTCATCCGTGTCTTTATCTCCCACCTTGATTATGGTAACCGCCATTTCTTTGGCCTCTCTGACATTTGCATCATCTTTCTCCAGTTCACTCAAAATGCAGTTGCTAAAAATACCTTCTTACAGGTTTTTTTTACCATCTTCTCTTTCAAAATCCCAGTGACTCCCCTTATTCACTGCATCAAGTTCAAGCTTATTATGATGGCCTTCAGGGCCTTATGTAATTTTTCCTCTGTGTACTTATTCACCTTGTTGGTGGTTATGTTCCCTCCACTTCTGCTCTGCTAGAGATGCCATTTGTTTACTTCTTCCATAACCATTTTTACTTTCATGTTCCATGTATGCATGCTGGCAACCCCCCACCCTCCTCCGAAACACTGTTCCTGAGCTAGTTCACAGATTATTACTGCCAACTTATTAATTAAATAATTTTATATTAATGAACACACACGTTTTCTCTATCATGCTGTTTGCTACCCTTTGAGTTAATTGGATAATCTTACTGTTCAAAGAGGTCTCTTCATTCTTCTCCCACAACAGTCTCAGTGCTTTCTTCCATTCTGTTCCTTAAACACACAACACCTCCTTCAAATCCATCAGGCCACTACCATCTCATTTGTCACATCCTTCCTCGTCCCCATCTCTTCATATGTCTCTGGTTGTCTTAGATGCTAGCTCCCTCAGGGCAGGGCTTGTGTGTTTTATATAATACCTTCCACAGTGGGAGTCCAGTCCATACTGTGGTCTCTTGGCACTACTAGTATATACATTACAAATGATTTTTGTAAAGCCATTTAAAATTAAAAGTAACTAAGTATGTTTAATGTTAGCTTATATATAAGGTGCTAAGTTTGTGTCTCTGACCTCTTAAACAGTAATCTCTGCTAGGTGGAATGTCACTTTGAGACCTTAAGTTCTGTGGTTATGTCCTCTGCGGGGACCTGTAGTCTGCAGTTTGCGGAGGGTACAAACCCACAATGTGACAAGAATCGGGGAGGAAAGGGAGAATGAGAGATGAAGGTTGTGAAGGAGAAACTACTACAGATGTCAGATTTGGACATGGAGTGTCCTCCTTCCTCCTTCCTTAGAGGTTTTTAAGGTCAGGCTTGACAAAGCCCTGGCTGGGATGATTTAACTGGGAATTGGTCCTGCTTCGAGCAGGGGGTTGGACTAGATGACCTTCTGGGGTCCCTTCCAACCCTTACATTCTATGATTCTATGATTTCCAATCTGTGATTTTTCACAAGTAGCATTTCTTTGCTAGATAAAACTAAAACAAAAAAGACTGGAATACTTATTGTCACAGCTTGTTCAGACTTCACAGAGCCAATAGATGGATAGTGAAATTATTCAGGTTAACACTCATGATAAAAGTTTGTCTCCTAATAGCCAAAGAAACAAGTTAAAGTTTTATTTTTTTCATATTGAACATCCTGTTGGGGCACAATTTTGTGTGCGTTGTGAATATCTACCATTTTGTGCTTGCCATTTGTAAATACTTTTTTCTGATAATGCAGTGCAAACACAGTTATAACCACAAACAGAGGCCTAATTTGAAAATCAGGCCTTGGTAGTAAACAGTAATATTCATGATTCCCAAAATAGGGTCGCAATAACCAGGATTATGAAAATTTACCCAACACCTACTAGGCTAGAGAGCTAAGCCTATTGACCAGGATGAAAAATACCTGTATTGCCACTTTTCCCAAAGGCTGTGACCTGATTCTTGTCCATTTCACAGCTGTTTAGTGTTCTGAATAGGTGCAGTTTTCACTCTGCACCTGGGTAAAGCCATGAGCAGCAACAGAGGCGCTGGAGCTATTCCCAGCTGTTTTGATTTAATAAAATAATACTGCACCTGTTCAGACTCGGGTCATATTTGGAAGATTACCTTTTAAATCATGTGTGCCCAAAACTGCTTGTTGAAATGAGAGTTGATGGCACCCGTTTAGGAAAACTTCATCGCTCCCAAGGGTGAATGATGCAGAGCTTCCATCATTATTAAAATCCAGTTAGAACAATGATATTTAGCATATAGGGTAATTACTTCAATTTTATATAGTACTTTTCAAACTTTACTGAAATGCTGTCACTTCCAGGGAGAAATGCAATACTAATTTAGGACAGGTAGGAAGAATACTTTTTTGTTGAAACTGCAGTGGAAATTTTAGTTAGGCAGATCATCTACTGGACCAAACTGAAGATTGAGTAGATAACCTGTATAAATGTGATATCTGGACACCATTTTTTGGACCATAAAAATCCATAGTACATCAATAAGATGGACACAGGCAATGCAGAGAACACTTGATGCATGTGAGCTTCTCCATTATTCGTATAACCTAACCTACGTAACTAGCTTTCTTTTCTTTCTTTTTTTTTCTTAAAAATATCTTGTGATGAGTGGTAAATATTGTCTGTCTTGCTTGTACTTGTATTTATCATTATTAGAAAATATTTTTTCTTACCCATAAGTGTTGACAGATGTGATCCCATTGCAGTGAAGCATATGATATGGCCCTATATCTGGAACTTCTTGCCCCCAGAAGAATATTTTTCATAGAATCAATGTCACTTGCATTCTTCAGGCTATTCTAAATTTATATTTGGTGAGCCTGTGTGCCCTTTTAGAGCTGGCATGATACTTTGTGGGCACAATGCTAATCTAAAAGATGAGCAGGAGAATAGGCATGTTGAAGAACTAGTAGTATGTGGTGTATCAGATTGGAGTGCTTATGTCCAAGAATGTGGAAATGGAACCCTAGAAGAGCATCCACACCTCAAAGCTGGATTAACTAAAAATCCTAAAATAACTTACTCAGCCATGCAAAGAATATATTGGCTCCCATGAATCAAAATTATTAATTCCTATTGGGTTCCTTCCAAAGTTGTAGCCTTATGCATCTATGAAGTAGAAGTTAAGGGTAGTATGGTTCTTTTAAGAGCCCTGTTGTCATGGGAAAGGGTAGGTTAGGCTGTTGTGCAGAGATTTGGGTTTCCATTGTTGCCCCGAGATCCATGCAGTTTTCAGGATGTTTGGTGTCATAGAGGGCTTACTTCTACCCGTTCTGCAAGGAAGGAGAGCAGAACCCAACAGTTACTAAAGAGAAACTTCTACAAGTGGAACTTGCAGGTTGTCCCCCTCATTTGGGAACAGTAGCTTGAGAAAAACATACCAGTCACTGGCTACTGGGAAGGAAAACAAGGAAAGGAGGAATGGGACTCACTTGTGAGGTCCAGAGGTAACCCATTGAGAAGCCTGTCTAACACCATTTGCTGAGTAAAGGGGAAGGTGCTAGGGTTTTTTACCTGGCTGCTGTCCCTGGACCTTGCTTTGCGGATAGGAAGGGCAGTCTTGTACATCGTTTTCTGGCTATTAGGTCCTGAGGAAATTTAAGTTCCAAATTGCTCCGGGGTCTGGAAGGGAGAAAGGAGCTTTATTTGTTTGGTGTCTCTTTTCCTCTAGACCGGGGTGACCAACCTGAGCCTCAGAAGGAGCCAGAATTTACCAATGTACATTGCCAAAGAGCCAGAGTAATAAGTCAACAGCCCCCCATCAGTAATAGGTCAACAGCCCCCCTCCTCTGCTCCCAGCACCTGCTGCCCACTGGCAGCCCCGCTGATCAGTGCCTCCCTTTCCCTCTCCACACCTCCCAGTCAGCTGTTTTGTGGCTTGCAGAGGCTCAGAGGGGGAGGAGTGAGGGCACGGCAGGCTCGGGGAAGGTGTGGGAAGGGGTGGAATGGGGACAGGGCCTGCGGCAGAGCCAGGAGTTGAGCAGTGAGCACCCCCTGGCATGTTGGAAAGCTGGTGCCTGTAGCTCCAGCCCTGGAGTTGATGCCTATACAAGGAGCCGCATATTAACTTTGGAAGAGCCCTATGTGGCTCTGGAGCCACAGGTTGGCCACCCCTACTCTAGACCCTTCTGGCTCTTGTGTTTTATGGTGGGGGATTGTCTGCTACCAGACTCCTCTCAAAGAGTATCGTGGCTGCTGGAGGGGAGGGTTGTTCCTCTTGCTCCTCCTCATATCTCTGCTTTCTGGGGTCTTTTTGCCTCTGCTGCTACTCATGGTTTTTGCCAGTTCTTAGAAGTCTGAAGTTTATATTTTGACATTTTAACTGCTAACAGATTTTTTTTAATAGCAGCGATGAAACTGACCATCTTGTTTTTCACACTGCTGTTGTGATCTATCTGTGGACTAGGGAAAGTAGTGCTGCATCAACTCATATTTGACAGTTATCTTCACAAGCATATTGGCTAGCAACTTAATTTCTTTAAGAGTAAAGAATTTTTAAGTATTGTCAGGAGATATAATGGTGAATTTTTCAGTTCTTCAGCAGTTGGTTGTTTTATAATGTACAATGCCAGTATAAGTTGCTAATGATATGGGATATCTTCGTTATTTTTATCATTTCTTTTCTTAGAGTTTGATTTTATTTGGATTTACTTTGGAAATGTGTGTTAGACTGATATGTATCACATGTATGCTTATGACTTCACTAGAAAACTGTTACGAAGAAAAAAATTTAA